TGTGTTTTGTGATGACCTCCAGCCCACATCACAACACATCACAGCGCCATGGTTTTACCAAAGGGAGGCGAGTAACGCAGCACACAGCAGCGCTCGGCTGGTAAAATAGGTTAATAATACCCCTGATGCACAACCGCTGCAGCCAAACAGCTTTTCATGCTGTTCTTGAAACGAGACTGAAGCTAAAGCTGCCACGGAGAGAGCAGGAAACTGTGTTTATGCCAGGAGCAGGAGGATATATTTAGAGCCCCATAGTCTGCACCTAGAACCACACGTGTCCCAAATCCACGGGTCAAACCGAGCTCCATCCGCCTCCACGGTATCACACAACAGAGATATGATTCCATTACAGCCCACAGAAATCCATCTGCACTCCGGTTCCTGGTTCAATCAAAGGCAGGGTTAAGGTGACAGACAGACAGACTCTGGTGTGGATCCAGGGAACGGTTCCTCAGACCGTACAGAAAGGATTTTGACTGCTTTGTCCAACATGAAATTAACGAGTAACCATAGATTCATTGTGCAAGGTGCATAAAAAATACTCATATGAAATGCAGTTTATGTATGTGTCTGATCAGCTTCCAGTTTAAGATGAATTTAGCTCTAAAACTGCTTCAGTCCTGCATTAAATCCCCCCATCATGACGGGTCTGACATTCAGTTTTGGATCAGAATGGTGCTGACTGAACTGTGTGATCATTCTGGAAGCTGCACTTTGTGTTGATGTTGAGCTATATTGCATTAAACAGTGAGGCTGTTCAACCTCCCCTCAACTGTTTTTATGTTTTATTAATTCATTATCTGTATGTGCGTCAGTCTGCACATATGGGCAGCCACAGGAGGAGCTCTGGTTGTTGCCACGCCAGCGTTATTTGAATATCTGTGCTGCTGCAACGCCTCGTGATGCTACACGTCGATATTTATTCATTTTATTCAATTTCCAACACAGAAACTACTTAATTATCTTTGCTTTTTTTTTTAAACTGATAGTCGAAGACCTCAAACAAAAATACGAGCTGAGTGCTTTTTAATAGTTTACAACTGGAGAGACCCCAGAGGCTTAAATATGCTGCTTCCAAATAACAATATAGAACAAAACAGTGATGTTAGAGTACAAATGTTCCTTCTGCTTACAGTTCTTCTGTCCCTATTATAAGTTCTAACAACCTCTTGCTCCGTTCATCATGTCCAGACCGAGCCTCTCATCTCACTCTTAGAATACAAAGTCAGCAGGTTATCTGCTATTTCCTTTAGCACAAACACAAACTACTCATCAGTGGGACAGTTTACAGTCAGAGAACAAACCTGTCTCCTCCCAACCTGGACTCCTGTGTGAACAATATAAACTCTATTGCAGACTCTAACATGAGCTGTGATGTTACCTCATGAAAACGTTCATGCTGAAGTTCATACATGTGACAGAATCTGTAGTCGGTTTCTGCACAAAGGCTTTAGACGCTAAAAAATAAAGTGAGGATGCTTCAAAACAACACCATGAGCAGACTTGTGTTATCAGAGATCTGTGTATAACGTGTGAGCAGCTAATACGTGTCCACACAGTTTCTCATGATGGACAACGTGGCACAAAGCTTCTGTTTCTCTGTCCAGTATTTTGTGGCTAAACGATCTTTCTTCATGACTCTGTTGGATGTTTGGGCTCAAACCAACACACAAGTTGTTAAAGTTAGCTCCACCGATGTGTATATGAAGGGGATGCTAACACAGTCATCATAATATAATAATATAATGAAACAGATTATGTTGAGACAGCCGATATTAGCTGGTACTTTAACTATCTTCTCATGTTTTGCTTTTTAGGTGTTCACATATTTCAAATTTGAAATGCATGACTTTTGCTTGTACGTTATGGTGTCACCACTTTTCCAGAAGAGAACACGTGATTACTTCTTCCACCATCGCTGGTTGCCACTGCAGGCCTAATAATGCTGCTCTACTTGACTTTATGTCCATTTCCTCAGCACACCAACTACATTTACTGGAGCTCCAGTTCCTTCTACTTTGCCATTTTCCTCCAGTCTCGCTTTAGTGACAATCAATATGTCGGCAAGATGTTTAATAATATAATCGTTGTGTTAGTGCAGTGGAAATTACCATTAATGTGAATTTACTGTGACAACAGGGAAACAGAAGTGTTTTCACTGGTGATTGCAGCGTCCACAGAGAATTTAAAAATGGAGCAGATCAAAAAATACAGTCATGTAAATTTGTTTTATATAAAAACATAAATAAAACCCCAACAAAGATCTCAGTATGATGTTACCAGCACTGGTTTCCTTGATTGTCTGATAATATACTGTAAGTCTAGCTTTAAAATGCTAATAATTCTTGTCATTAACAAGACTTTGATGCCTTCTGAAGCGATCCCCTCGAGTGTTGGCGTCTTGAGAATCAGAGAGTCTGTTAATAATAGATGCAGCACATTCAGCAGCTTTTGCTCCTCACCTGCCCTGGTTGATGGCTGCAGGGTCGGCTCCGGAGCAGATGTCCTCCATGATGTAGGGGTTCTGCTCACAGCTGACGTTGAGCGTCGTGTAGTTGGGTTTGCACACAGTGAGGAAGTAAGGTGCCGGGTAGCCCGTCATCAGCTGGAGGATGTCGGTGATCAGAGCTGTGGCACAAAGACCGAAGGCATGAACACCTGCAAGCAAAGGGCGAGATGTGAAGGCAGGGAAGCAAGATGCTGTTGGACATGCAGCACAGGGCAAATATATATCAGATGTCTGAAACCTTGGATGTTAACCCTTGAAAAGTTTAGGCTTTATATTTGGTAGATACACAGTGAACAGTTCAGTAGATTAGAGTTAATGCTGACTGTAAACAACAACAACAACGACACACGTGTAGAGTTCATAGTAATTCTGTCAAGATGCAAAACGACTGTTAAAGATTTGTTTTGCGTGATGACGGCGAGTGAAAGGAAGAGAAAAAACAATCAGCGCACCAACGAAGCGGACAGCTCTGCGTATGAAGGAGTTGAAGTTGCAGCCGGCAGCGTTGATGTTGGCCTCGGCTCCGGCGCCGTTCTTCCTCCGAGACAGACAGCAGAACAGGATGGCCTCTCCGATCATGATCTGTCAACACAAGGACTCATTTAGTTTACAATGTGGGCAAACTAGGCTCCTCACTAATCTGTGTGTGTGTAGCTCAGTTTTTGGCGCTTTACAGTATTATATCATGCTCGGTACCATCTGACTGTTCAGTGTGGGCGGTGTGCCACGCCTCGACATCTCTACGACAGTCTAAGCTCTGGTTTAAGCCAAAACAGACGTCTGCAGAGTGACAACCGGAGGTCACAGATCTCTGCAGCACGACGACGATGGAGAGGGTTGGATAGAGGAGAGATACTGAACAATGGATGTGGAGAAGAAAAAGGAAGGCAGCACCAGTGATGGACAACTACCCGATCATTCAATAAGCTAACAACATATTTTCCAGTTAATTTTCTGTCGGTTGAATCGATGAATCGTTAAAGAGTGCTGCTTGGTGTTTGATGGTCACTGAGAGGTTTAACAATAAAATTGTACTTGGCAGGCTTAAAGTAGTCTTTACTTTAGAGTCACTGGTCATTCATTACGTTTTCTTTTTCATCCTGCAAAGGAAAACGAGCAAAAGTCCTATTAAAAGAGGAAAAACCTCTTTGCCATCATACATGATGTTGTGTTTAGCTTCGGCTTCCTGTTTTGTTTTCTATCAAATCAAAATCAGACTTTTCATCAGTTCTTTTCTGATGGAGCCGTGATGCAGACACGACCCATAAAGTTCTGGTCTTCACAGCTCATTTAATATCCACGTTCATGCTGATAGACGAACTGGAAATCACAGGTGTACTCAGTTACTCAGGCGGTGGATTCACTTTTGTTGCCCTGAGTTTCAAGTCACATTGCACAGGGATGTGTTCATCTCTGCTGCATACTGTGTAAATATGTGCTAATACTCTCAGTTGTCAGAAATATAGCTCAGTGACATTTCAATGACGAGCAGCTTATTGTGAATATGCTGAACACACTGGGAAGAGAAGTAAATGGAGTGTAGCTGAATGTCAGAGAAGCTAAAGTCTGAACAGGAGTTACAATCATTGTTGAGGAAGAATGTGATCTGGTGATGCTGTGTGACTGATACGGCCGGACTTATTACATCCGTCAGTGTGATGTGAGCGCAGAGAAAATGTTCTCAGGCACAAATATGCTAAAAATGTTTCATGTGTATGAGTCAGAGGTTAACAGGGATACGGCTTCAGAGCTGATCATCAGTCACAGGGGTCGACAGAAACACACCAGGACGGATGATCTCATGTGACTGCATCTCAGGAGGTGTCAGGACAAATGCTGACGCATCGTCTTATTCAGCCTCTACACTTCTAAATCTCTGTCTCACGGCAACATTACCAACAAATGTTAGTGTGTGTGTGTGTGTGTGTGTGTGTGTGCATGTGCATCAGGCTGGACAGTCAGTAACTAAACTAACTCTTCAGCGATAACGAGAGGACACTCAGCTCAGAAACAGTGAAGTCAGAGCTAAAGTGACTCTAGTCTAATGGTGTAACTACCAGCCGGGGCCCCGGTGCCGTAGGGGGTCCACTCTTGGGCCCATGTGATGCCAGAACAGTGGGCCTGCTCACCGTCTCCTGGCAGCACAGCTCTGTGTCAGCCTCCTTCAGCGATGTTTGCACAGCATTGCTTTGGATCTTACCGTACCCGTCACTGATGCGACTGCTGAGCTCAAACTCATCAAAACCTATTTGAGGAGCAGGACGGGACGGGAAAGACTCAGTGGGTTGGCAATGCTCTCAGCAGAGAACAACAGAGCCAGGAGTTTGGACTTGAGTGATGTTGTCAGCGGCTTTGTTGAGTGGAAGATCCACAATGGGCGAGTACAGCTGAGTTATCACGTCTGGAATGTAAGAAACCGCTGCTGGTATTCTGTGTGTGGAAACATTTGGCCGCTGTGTCACTGATGATCAATAATGATCAGATGTTCTCATCCATTCATACTGAGGCAGTGAGACATGCAGCCACCAGGTAGCGCTGTGCTGTCCAGGGTCCTGAACTGTACATCTGTATAAAAGACTTTTGAAGTAACATTTATTTTATTTTATCAGATTAATTCAGTTTAATAATCTTTTCCCAATCTGCCAGATTTCCAGTCCGTCAGCGCTGTGTGACCTGTGATGACTTGATGTGTTGATTTAGTGCTTTTCTCGACGGCTGCTCTGTACTTATGGACTTTAGTTGGTGTTGTTCTGTCAGTGTAGGCTGAAGTCAAAGCTGTGTGATGGCGTGAGGCCCATCATGACTTTGCTGCTGCTCTTGTCTCTGATCTTTTCACATTGATTTGTAGAAAATCGTGCCGCTGCTTCAGACGTTAAAATGAACTCTTAGTTTGCAAACGTAGATTTACTCCAAGCAATACAAAGCTGATTATAATATGGGATATCCATTATCTGCTTGAAGCAGTGATGCAATCGACGATCACTGGCAAAACACGAGCGTGCTCCGTGAGCGCGTCTTTTATACTCCTGGTCTGGTGACGCACGCCCGCCGTGCGCTCAATTTTGATCATGAGTTGTGAGTACTTGCGCCATGCTTAACACACAAGTAGCACTGGCTCCCTCATTGCGTCTTAGACCACAGATTTTCTTCTTAAAAATTGCACTTGCAAACTCCTTGCAGGTGGAGCAAGGCACACTCACGGGGTCGCTGTTTGCAGAGAATTCGTAGAAGTTTTTGGACATGTCCAAATTCCTCTGTACGTGCTTCGAAATTTTGCAAGACAGACTTGCGTGGCACGTAGCATGGTGCTAACCACCGAACCACCTTGCAGGCCTACACATGTGTATTAAAATGTGAAATCTTAAAATAAAGGCAGTGTTCTGAGTCTTGTCATGAATCCTTACTGTGATGGCAGGTCCAGCGAAGGCCAGGCTAAGAAGCATGAGCAAGGGAATGACTTCGTGGTTTGGGTCGATGTAGGGCAGGCTCAGGCTGCGGTCGTGGCAGTTGAAGCCAGACTTGACTGGCTTGAACACATCCGTCCACTCCAGGAAGTACAGACTGACCACAGACGACACCAGGATCGGCAGCTACACATGGACACACGAGCAGACAGAGAAAATGATATGAGGGGGTTCAGAGTCATAAAGAAGCTTTGGCAGATTGCATGAATAAATAAATAGATTAACAGGCAGTGAAGGATGTAAACGGCCCCACAACCCTTTGGTTCAATGACCATGTTAATTTGATTTGATAATGAGGACGGAGGCATGGAAAATAGTTTTCATGACCTGAGGGGGTGAGGATGGTGCTGAGAGTGATGAAAGAAGGCATGTGGAATTAACTGCTCTTATGAAGTGCTCCCCCTGATTTCAGCTGAGAGGTGCTGAATGAATGCTTCTAATCCCAACAAACAAACAGCTGGTTCGTGTTTATTAAAGCTAGTTTGAAGTTTTTCAAATTATAAGAGACCCAACCATGAAATATAGAATAATGAAGCCAGTGTTGATCCTTCAGTGCTTCAGTGGAAGAGAACCAGGAAGCAGCTCTGCAGGGCTCAGCTGCTGATGTAAATTCCTGCTTTCGACATGCTGAAGCGATTTCCCCGCTGACCCGTTACAGTGCCGCTGTACTGTGTACTGAGAGGGCAGAGCTGTGGAGATGATCGCACAGAGCCCAGATGAGCTGCTTTCTCCAGAAACGTCACCAAAACTGTCTTTTGTTGAGCACAGGCCACATAACAGCTGCATGTCACAAGTATGGAGGAAGAAAACTGGACACTCCAAGATGGCTCCTGCTCACTTCAATCCTGATTTCTCTCCTGGCAAGAGCTAATGTCATAGTAATCTACCTGACCTATAAAATGCTGCATGAGGTGGTGCCTAGCTCTGATTTCACTCCTTAATGTTGGGTTAATCTGCTAATACGAGGTGCCATTCAACACTTTATCTATTTTCTATTATTATCTCTGTGGCAGGTTGACCTCTTACACCTTTTACATGTGTTTTGTTTTTTTATCGGCTACTAGATTCAAATACACAGATACTATAACTTTAAAGTCAGTGAGCTGAAATAATGATAAAATGAGCCAGTACGACTCCTAGAACTGGTGTAATGTAATTCAGCACAGGGAAGACCTGTTGCTATTTTGTGCACTCGAGAAGTCTGAGTCCTCTACTGAGTTTTTTGGTTTCAAAAAACAAACAAACAACAACAAAATAAATCCCGCTGACTCCACAGTTAGGTGGTCCCTGTGGTTACTAGATTCCATGTGTTGGGTGTGAAATCCAAAGCGTGGCATCATTTCATACGGTAAAGAATCACCCCGAGAAGGTGGCGTTAAAACTTCCTGCCGGTAGTGCCCTCCTACACACATCCCAAATATGTGGCACACTGAAAGGGCAGGTAAAGATCCTTTTATGGCCCGCTGAGCTATCGGTCCAGTGTGTGTTTAGATGGAGGGCGAACATGGGCTAGTGACACAATGACAGAGCTACAATCTCTGTCTAAATAACTAAAGGCTAGTTCATGGTGTATGCATCCTGATGCACTGACCGATGCAGACTATAAAAACAAACAGCGAGTGTGTGAATAGTTAAACAAGTCTGCAGACAGCTTGTAGAAAAGTCTCAATAGAATGCGTTCAAGTAAGTGGAGATTTACAATTGATATGTTCATTGATAAAGGCTAAGCTGATGTAAAAATGATCCATCTATCCACGATAACTGCTTCATCCTGTAGGTAGGAAATGAGAGCCTATCCCAGCTATAAACGACAATGTATGAGCTGTGTGTATTTTAATTTTCATTTCACAGATTTTTTTCAACCAACCATATAAAAAAACACGGCATCATAAAGAAAGGAAAGAAACAGACTTAATGAGACCAGCCAGCCAATTAGAGGCTCACAATACCACTGGATATCACTAAACTTACTCTACTGAGACACTTCTCACTGAACCCTGACAAGAAAGAGATAAAACTCCAGCATCAACAGTTCACATACCTACACTCTGCAGTCATGTTTTAACATCAGCCAGGATTCATGGTGTCTTTTTAACAAAGCTACAAGGAAGTGAGGTGCATGGTGACGCCTGTCCACAGAGGACTGCGGTGTGATGTGTCAGTGGGAGCTTAACCCTAACCCTGAGCATCATGGACTCCACTGGTGTTCAGCAGTGGGCGCCGTGCTCACACAGCTGTGTGATGGAGGAGGGTCCCGCTAAGAGTCCAACACAGGGGCGTCTCTTCAAATGAACTCAGTCCTGCTGAGCCCTGAATGCACACACAGTCACACAGAGGGCCTCTGTTCACAGGCTTCGGTCTCCTGTCTTAAATTTCTGCCAGGTGTTAGTCACTAAGACATCCATCCATTATCTATAAACCGCTTAATCCTCACTAGAGGGGGCTGGAGTCTATCCCAGCTGACTCAGGCTGAAGGCAGGTTCACCTGGACAGGTAACCAGTCTATCACAGGGCTACACTTAGAGACAGACAACCAACCAATGTGAGTGTGCTTGGTTGTCTGTCTCTAAGTGTAGCCCTGTGATAGACTGGTTACCTGACCCTAGTGAGGATGAAGGTGGAGACATGATGGATGGTTGTCTGGTGTATATAATGTCAATTATTGGGGGATGATTCTTGGTACAGTTTTGCAGAGCTGGACTTGTTAGCCAATTCAAAACCATACGTTGTTCAGTTTGTATTGACACAAGACAAAGAAATGCAGCAAATAAGTTCAATGGCAAAAAAGATGAATATGGAACGTTTATTTAAAAAAAAAACTATTCAAAAGAACGATCAAAAAAGTTGCAAAATATTTTTCTGTCAGTCGACTAATGACTGTTTTAATGCTCTTGGTGTGCATTAAAAAAAAGAAGAAAAACAAACGTTAAAAAATACTACAAAGAGCGGTAATTTAGTGAAATACCCTCCATCTCTGCTTGGCCGGCAGCTTTCCCTTCATGTTGGCATGAGCTGTGTTACCTGCCCACTGGATAATCAGCTGAGTCAGGACATCTGTGGTGGGGAGTGGCTCACCTGCACACAGTCTACTTCTATCACAACAGATGGGCTCAGACCACCACTCAACGCTGGATTTTTCTTTACAGTGCAGTTGGAATGTAGATTTGGTTTTTCTGCTTTCTGCCCTTACTACTTTGGATGTTTACATTTGGATAAGTGTCTGACCTTCATATAAAATTCTGCTGAGCGTAATCCCTTCACTGGCTCCCATGTGTTCCTGGCAGGCCCTCGGTGATTACAGAGATCAGAGAACAGGCAAGAGGTAGTCAAGACTGAATAATAGATGTGTAAAAATGGAAAGCAATTTCCAGTGGGCTTTGGCTGGTGGGTGTTGGGCCAACAACACCAACAGTCGTGTAGCTTTCTCAGTGAATTTGGAGTAGTGGTGTATAGATAATGGATGGATGGATGGATGGATGGATGGATGGATGGATGAATGGATGGATGGATGTCGTAATTAGTGTATGAATTCCTGAGTTATGGTCAAAAACATTCGGTAAGGTCACACTTACATTTGACCACCAAAATCAAATCATTTCGTCCACAGGTCCAACCGAATGTTTCTGGCACATTTAACAGAATTCCCTTCCAGTATTCAAAACAACATTACACTCACAAGGATCGGAGGGACAGATGGATGTCTGTATGGACAAATGGACAACCCAAAAACACAATACCTCACTAACACAGAGGCATAGCAGTCATAATGATAGATAGCTGGTCGATGACATGAGGGGGCCAACATGGCTGATATTTACAATGAAGGTGCAAAATTGTTAGTATTTACAACAGAGGTGCAAAATCAATGGTATTTACAATTTTAAAAAGAGTATTACAACATCTAAGTAGAAATAATAATAAGCATATACGAGAGGTGCTTGGGTCCTGCTGGGCTAGGATGATTGGTTTTATTGTGCAGTTAAGTCACTGGAGTGTGGCAACGACGGTCCAGGTTGTGAGCCACAGGTCTTGTGATGTCATTTTGCTTTGGGGACAAAGGACCTCCTGGACCGTTCAGTCCTGTGGTGCAGCGAGATAAGCCGCTCACTGAAGCTGCTCCTCTGTCCAGCCAGGATGCTGTGAAGAGGAAGGCTTGCATTGTTCAGGATGGACTGCACTGGGCTGCGTCTCTCAGCCACAGTCCTCAGTGAGTCCAACCTCCTGCCAAACACAAAACCAGCCTTCTTCCTCTCAGCCATGCTGCCACCCCAACAGACCACAGCATAGAAAAGAACACTGGCTACCAATGACTGGTAGGATCTTACTCTCCTGAAGAAGAACAGCAAGCTCTGCCCCTTCCAGTAAAGGGCATCTGTGCTTGCCGGCCAGTCCAGTTTTTTTTTGTCAAGGCGTAAACCTGAGTATTTAGAGGTTTGCACCACTTCAGTGTTCTCCCCTCTGATATTGACAGGTTGGAGTGGCGGCTTAGACCAGTGGAAGTCCACAACCATCACCTTGGTCTTGAAGATGTTCAGCAGAAGGCAGTTCTTAGCAGCGGCCTTTACCAAGGTCCTGTACTCACCTTCCTGCCTATTCTTGATACACGTCACAGTCGCCATATCATCAGAGTATTTCTGAATGTGGCAGGACTCAGATCCCCAGTCTGATGAAGTATGAAATAGTTTGTAAACCAGGAGGTGGGGAAGAAACAACCTCCATCCCTTCAAGCTTGTTTCAAAGTACGAGGGATCGAATTGTGTTAAATACGCTCGAAAAGTTGAACAACATAACCTTACAGATCCACCTGGTTCATCCAAGTGAGAACAGACCTGGTGGAGCATGTAGAGAACTGCATCATCCACTCCAACCTTCTGGTATGCCAACTCTGGTAGATCAAGTGCAACCTGTGGTCTCAGAAAGCGGCGAAGAAGCAGCCGCTCCAGTATCTCCATGGTGTGTGAAGTGTGGGCCACCAGTCTGTAGTCATTATGTTTTCCCATCTGCCTGCTTAACTCAAAGATCCTCTGTAGTGGCTCAACCAGTTGAGCAGCACAGTCCTTAAGCAGCCTCAGACACACAACATCTGGACCTGCTCCTTCTCCAGCCTCTTGAGCTGCTTCCTCTGT